AATTTACCACAAATATAACATAATATTTTGGGTCGTTTACACAACCTCTTGTTGTCATAGCGAGGAATGAATAATATTGAGAGAAAAAAGCAATGTCAAAGTGCACGCACAAACAAATGATAACCAGAAATGGCACGTCATTCGGCCTGTTTATATATTAGATGTGTGTTTCTCATGGGTTCTAGAACGATCGGTAAGACACTCACGTCGCGATTGGTCTAGAGAAATCTATAACCACTCGTTGTCAACATTTTAAACATAGAAAAATGTGACTCAATTTCAGTGAAAATGATTCACTTATGTACATAAAAGTACATATGACGTTTTGTCAAAAATCTTGACGTGATGAAGAAAAATGGATATCATTTTCGGATTCACCGTACAAGAATTACTGTAGAACATGTAAAAATTTCAAGATCTGTGTTATGAAGAGAGTGACATGGAATATTTGTAAAGCTTGTCTTTGACTTAACTGCATAAATGTGGATTTGTCTGAAATCTAATCATATTTGCAGTACTCTCAGTACAATATAGGGGAGCAAGCAAGCAGGTACTATTATAACCACAGCAAGATGCTGAGTAATAAATGGGACAAATATACAAGGTAAACGTATAGGAATGTATAACAGATAAAATTTAATTACCCAATAATTTTTTAAAGCATGCACCTCCTGAACTGGTTCATGACCCAAGTGTTACATATTAGAATTTCAAATGGTCTGAAATGGAATTAACTGATAAATTAATATTTAATAGTTAAATTGTAATTTGGATTTAGGAGTTAACTAAAAGCCAGTATATAGCCAGTTTATGATATTTGCCAACAAGATTGCTACACACAGTTTTCTTTTTTTTAACACAAGTACGTTTTAATATACACACAACAATACAACTTACAGTAACAGTTATTACAAATAATTATTACAAACAATGATTTATAAACAAAAGTTTCACAAATTTAAAAGCAATATAAAGTCTTCTTTCTATTCTGGAACTTTCTTAATATGTTATCGAGGATTCACCATGAGCGAGTTAATTCAGAGATGATGTAGGTACGATTCGCTTAACGAGAAGCTAGCTAGCTTTGTCCTTCGTTATTCACCAGCCACTCAGGCAGATTACAGGTCGAGTTTCTTTTTCCACTGAAATTATATAATAACTTCGTAAAGGTAAAAATGTCTGATACACTGAAGTTAAATGATTTGTAATGTTCCTGGTCAAATATTTGAACTTTTCCGATCGGTAAGCGTTATAACAATCACAGTCATAGCTTCCGAAGTTTACAGCACACTGACTTTACCTAATAAATAACAGATACTCTCTTTTGGCACGTCGCGTTAGTTATATTTATAGGCATGTGGAGGCTTTCTAGAAATTTCAGTTTTACGTAACAATACTGAGCTACATTTAAGCGTTTACGTACATACACATATTGTTGATTCTTACTCTCGCGAATCTTCAACAACTTTGGAGAATAGGCGGGAGTTTTGCAATACATATTTAACAGTATAAGCTATGTAGGTTTCTAAATATAAGTTTAATATAAAGAAATTATATGTGAAAATTCACTTATTATGAAGTTAGGTGTAAGGAACATGGGTTGGAATTGAGAGAGGTAAGAAAGCGGCAGGCTTTTGGTCAGTATCTAAGGTATTAATGAATTATAGTACATTGAGTAATTAGGAAATTATTGGAGTGATCAGTCACCTTTCTTGTTCAGCCGACGTGGAGATTGCAAAACTCTTTATTATGAAACGTTATAATCCGATATACTGGAAACAGTTGTGCAAATAGGTGTAAAAGAGAAAAGGACCTGTTTGGAGTGGGTTTGAGAAAGGAATATAAAAAACAGAAGTTCAACAAAAAAGAAGAATATTAGAAGACGTAGGAGAGAGAAGGAATAAGTCGAGAGATGCGAAGGAAGAAAGTAATGTGCTGCCAGTAAGAAACAAAACCTGTTTTTAAATCTTTTGTGTTATTGATTATAATGACAAACAGCAGTTGGGTATGTATACATTATTATGAGTCAATTCCTGATAGGAATAAGTACAAAATAAATAAAACACATGGATAATAAGGGAAAGAGGAGTGCAAATATAACACCGTCGTTGTGTCAAAGCAATCTGTAACACTGCAGCTTGCACTATCTATGTGTGCGAAAATAATCACAGATAAATGTTTTGCCAAGACACAGTTATTTATAACACAAAATACAGCTACTACAGAATTTGTGTAACATGAGCATTTGTATTTTCCAGACCTGTTTGTATCATACTCTATTAATGCTCATCATAGTACATGGATGCTCAAAGTCCACTAAAGAAGCCTCATGTGAGCACAGCTTAATTAATGAGATATGTGAGAGTCCCCAAAAGAAACAGAACTTCTCATGCAGGAAGTATAGGAGAGGCTAGAGTCGAGGTAACTAGATTATTATTGTCTTACAGGGGAATGGGGGAAATGTGAGTCTCTCAAAGTCAAGAACTGGAAAAGTTCTTGTCTACTGTACAGAAGTCGTGAATATCATATTCTTCTAGCTACTTCAGGATTTGTGTAACACGAACATTTGTATTTTTCAGACCTGTTTGTATCATACTCTACTAATGCTCATAACAGTACACAAGTACACCAAATTTTCTTGTCTACTGTACAGAAGTCATGAATATCATATTCTTCTAGCGCTCGTCAGAACACGGGTATAATACACTCTACAAAACTCGTGTTAAACTTTCTAATGCTCAATGCTATATATAAGTAACATATGTTTTTTATTCTCTGGAGAACTAATGTGTACCTTAATACTTATTAATCTTATTCAAATTCCGTGAATATACAGTGGTGTAACTAGGAGCGGAAAGGCCCGTGGCAAAGTATCACTGATGACCCTTCACTCCCCTTGATCTTTCTCCCAAACTAATAACGTTTATGGTTAATATGGAGCAACTGAAATATGTAAAGCCTATTAAGCTTCGCTGTCTTGTTAATCAAATATAATGAATGAGCAAGAAGGGTTCACGTTTTTAAGAAATTTAACGTGACGAGAAAACTTCAGCTAGATTTATTTGCCTAAATATACGAAATCAGTATTAGCAAATATAAACATAGAAGTTTAACACAGGTTTACATGAAACTTATGAATATTCCATAAGAAATATCTTTAAAAATCTTTCTTCCTTTCTTTCATCTCCGCAAACTGATCAATGAATTCATTAAAGTTTAATTGATGAGCAAAATCTTGTTCGATTGACAGAAATGCCAGTCAATGAAATCGTTGCTGACTCGTGGTGCTTCTCCAATAATTTAAAATAATTTTTAACTTTGAGAAAGACCACTTGGCACTTGCAGTCGTTACTGGTATCATCAGAACCAATAACAACGCTGTGTAAACCTCAGGAAAACTCGCTGATAAAGAATGGTTCTCTATGAACAATAAATTAGCGAGTTTCCTGATGGTAGAAACTTTGTTGATTTCACTCTTCAAAGCGGATCTCATGCTGAGGGTTTTTATGAGTGAATGATTCCGATACATCTTTTTGATACTTGCTGACAAATATTGTTGCTTCATTAAGCAGCTGCAAGTCTGAAAGGTTCTTCAATGTACTGGGCTGCAACACAGAGAAGGTGGAGACATCATGAAGGAAAGTGTAACGAGAATTCAACTGATTTATGATGATGTCCAAGGTGCGATAAAAACAAAACCTGAAAAAAAAATATTATTTTGTTAAAAAAGTCAATTTATAGTTGTTTCATCAGATAATTATAAAGTCGTATCATCAGAATTGAAACTTTGATGATTGGATGGTGCTTTGGGTTAGATAGAGTACAGATGCATAACATATTTCTTATCATTTATTAAAAAAATTATTATTGTCATTTGTTTTAACACAGTATTATTTAACGCAGTGAAAATAAAATTTTTAAAATCAGTTCTTAATTTTTGTAGAACACTAAAAACACAGTTTTTGACATCGCTTTTAATCTTATTTAAAGGGTTATCAATATCATTAAAGATAGAACTTTGTACAGCTATTTCTTTACTACTGGGTCTTTTAGGAGTATATAAATTTATCTCACCATGCTTTTAGTACTACGAAGAAAAACATTTCAATAGGGATATGATACAGTTATAAGTCATTTATACAAAGCATACAAATTTTCTGAGTTTAAAAAAAGAATAAAGGCCATTGAAAATTAATCGGATCAATTAGGAAGAAGCAAAAGGAAATATCAAGTTAAGTCAACAATAATTTTAATTTTTTTTGCAAAACAATGAATTTTATCAACAGCAAGACATTCAAGACAAACGCAAGGCAAAAACATTTCGAAGGCAATTTTTCAATCAAAATTTTGCAAACCATTAAATCGATTCATGCGAACCATTAATGATTCGCGAACCACTGGTTGAAAACCAATGAAATATAAGATAATGGCAGCCACTACATAACCCGCATATACACAAAACACACTATGCCACTATTTATATCTCTCACTTCACTCATAATCCCCGCAGCATTAGTGTATTACTATCACTTTAAGAGACAGCTCACAAATGTATGAAACACGCAGGATGCAGCCGTAAGCACCAGAGACACTTGCCAAATGTCTACTAGTTCAGACGTGTAGCCTAAAGCAGTGTGTGTTGCCAGTGCGGTAGTGCCAGTGTGAGATTCAGCTGTACACCAAGTTTCTTATGTCGGGTTCAGGCATGTTAAATGTTAAATATTAAAAATTTTAAAAATATTTTATTTTGATATTTTCTAAATTATGAAAACTAAAATAAAACGTTGGCCCCTGGTATTTTGCCACTAAGGCCACCCTATTGTTACGTCACTGTGAATTATAGTATACTTTTTAGCCTGGACAGACCACATGAGTATCATAAGTTTTTGACACTCTACAGATCTTAAAAATATCATATACTTATGAGCCAGACCAGAGTCGGAGAATACTAACATTTCTGATTAGTTTCTGAACCTGTGTAATTGAACCGTTTAATCGTTCATCAAAACCAATACTAATATTTCTATTTTAAACCCTTATCAGAACTAATATTAACATCTCTGTCTGGTCTCTGTACTCGTGATTTGGTC